TTGTTCCTGCTGCACCTGTACAACTGTCCACCCTGAACTCCCAGCAGAGATCAAATCCTCTGGTTCTGCAGGTGCCATCTGTCCCCACCAGAACAGGTTGGCTCACTTCACTGAACCAGGAGGCCCAGCAGATCTTGTCCAGCATCCTGCATGGGGCTCTGGCTCTAGATTTGAGAGGACCCTTATATCACCACCTCTGCCTTGCAACCCCAGCCACCTCCTCCCTGAAAACACTTCCATTCCCTGCTGTCTGCCTTAGAACAACCTGCTTGGAATACATGTTAGGAGGCTACTGACATTGCCCATGTCAAATATAGTACTAATAGTTTTCTGGTATTCAGTTTAGGCTCCTAGTTTTGTGGTGAAGGTGTTGTCATCCATGCTGTGTAACAAAGTTGCAGCCAGAAGAGGGGGAACTCTGCAAAGCAAGAAGTCAATGACTAAACTGAAGCCATTCTCTGCTGTGTTTAATAGTCTGAATGATGTAGTTATTGGGTTTGGGTGTGGGGATCATGAATATCAATGCTAAGCAAAATTGTTTCTTGTAAAAAAATGAATACAGGAGGTGACTGGAGAAATGAGAGGGGAATGTCCTAAAAACTGTATAGAGAAAAATGTTATTAGGAAAATGTATAATGAGTTTTATGAGAAAATAGAAAGAGCATGCAGGTGCTTGTTCTCACAGACCCTCCCTTGCCTTACACAGGAGTGTATGATGAAACTGGTAAGTACATAGTTAATACTACGGCAAGTGGACTGATGTACAAGCACTGACATTCTTACAAAGGTTAGATGTTATGCCCCTGCTTGGAAATATAGAACAAAGGAACAAGGAACTTTTAACATTAGGCAATGCAATAGGTCCTGTAAGAAACATTTTAAAATAAATCCATTAACCTTAAAAATCTTAGACTTTGAGCCGGCGCCGTGGCTCAATAAGCTAATCCTCCACCTTGCGGCGCCGGCACACCGGGTTCTAGTCCTGGTCGGGGCGCCGGATTCTGTCCCGGTTGCCCCTCTTCCAGGCCAGCTCTCTGCTATGGCCAGGGAGTGCAGTGGAGGATGGCCCAGGTGCTTGGGCCCTGCACCCCATGGGAGACCAGGAAAAGCACCTGGCTCCTGGCTCCTGCCATCGGATCAGCGCGGTGCGCCGGCTGCAGCGGCGGCCATTGGAGGGTGAACCAACGGCAAAGGAAGACCTTTCTCTCTGTCTCTCTCTCACTGTCCACTCTGCCTGTCAAAAAAAAAAAAAAATCTTAGACTTTTTGTCTAGCAACTTTAGATAAGATAAGCAAGTTTCATATAGCTGAGGCATTCACTATGCATAGAGGAAAGATTAATGGGAAGGTTATGATGAGGCCATGAAAGGAAAATGAAACAAAACATGATTAATAGAGAAAGGTTATGCATAGACAATCACTTGTGATGTGCTCTTTCTCTGAAAGAATAGAGGCTTAGAAGGAAGAAGGCTTAATGAAAAATATGTGTAAAAAGAGTATAAGGTAAAGCTGTGAGAAGGAACAGCAGAATGATGCCTCCCCTTGCTAATTAAATCTCATCTCCTTATATTGTCTCTTCACTGGCACCCCCCCTCCTTCGGGAGCCCTTGGACCTGCCACGGCTGGACCATGGCAGTTTTGTCATGGCTGTGTCACAGTTGTTGCTGGTATTTGGGGAAATGAATGCGAAAATAGAAGAGCCCTCACTGTCAACTTTCTGTCTCTCTCTCTAATACTTTTTTAAAAATGTTTAAATATTCAGTGTTCTAATACCTCTTACAGTAACACAGTACCTTCTTGTCATTCTTCATATTCAGGATTCCTTTGGAAGTATTCAATTATTTGAAATGAATTTTGAATACCTATTTAAATTTAAGAAAAAGGTATAGTTAGTTTCAAATAGTAACTGAGAAAACTTTTAACCAAAAAACACGATCCCAAGTTAATCTATCCAGGTACATTTGGGGACTGAGCCAGCAGCTGAAAGATTTCCTCTCTCTCTCTCTTTCTCCTCCCTCCATTCCTATCTGTATGTAGCTCTGCATTTAAAATAAATAAATCATACAAAAATTATTTTCAAGACAAATGCAAAACAGAAACAGTTTGAGACATAATACAAACCTAAATAACTAATCTCCATCAGAGCTGCACTTCAGGAAATGTTCAAAAGTTTCTTCCAGAGGAGGAAAATGATGCCAGATGGAAATACTTGACTACATGGGGTATGTACTCTTTAGAATACTATACCGCAGTAAGAAACAATGAAATCCAGTCAGTTGCAACAAAATGGAGGAATCTGGAACACATCATGCTGAGTGAAATAAGCCAGTCCCAAAGGGACAAATACCATACGTTCTCCCTGATCGGTGACAACTGACTGAACACCAAAAAGAAAACCTGTTGAAGTGAAATCGACACTATGAGAAACAGTGACTTGATCAGCATAGCCCAGACTGTTAATGAACAACTTAATACATTATCCCTCTTAGTAGTTTTTTTTTGTCTGTTCTACTTAATATGACTGGTTTAATTCTGTAATTAATACACAGTTATTCTTAAGTGTTGAAATTTAACTGAAATGTGATCCCTGTTAAACATAAGAGTGGGGATAAGAGAGGGAAGAGATGTACAATTTCGGACATGCTCAAGCTGACTTGCCCCAAATGGTAGAGTTAGAAGCATACCAGGGGACTCCAATTTAATCCCATCAAGGTGGCATGTACCAATGCCATCTCACTAGTCCAAGTGATCAATTTCTGTTCACAATTGATCATAATGAAAGGGCTAATAGTCAAAGGGAGCTCATAAACAATGTAGTACCTGCTAATATTAACTGATAGAATAAATAAAGGGGAGAGTGATCCAACATGGGAAGTGAGATACTCAGCAGACTCATAGAATGGCAGATGTCCTGGGCCGGCGCCACGGCTCACTAGGCTAATCCTGCGCCTAGCGGCGCCGGCACACCGGGTTCTAGTCCCGGTCAGGGCGCCGGATTCTGTCCCGGTTGCCCCTCTTCCAGGCCAGCTCTCTGCTGTGGCCAGGGAGTGCAGTGGAGGATGGCCCAGGTGCTTGGGCCCTGCACCCCATGGGAGACCAGGAAAAGCACCTGGCTCCTGGCTCCTGCCATCGGATCAGAGCGGTGCGCCAGCTGCAGCGCGCCAGCCGTGGCGGCCATTGGAGGGTGAACCAACGGCAAAGGAAGACCTTTCTTTCTCTCTTTCACTGTCCACTCTGCCTGTCAAAAAAAAAAAAAAAAAAAAAAAAGAATGGCAGATGTCCTAAACAGCACTCTGGCCTCAGAATCAGCCCTAAAGGCATTCCGATCTGGCTGAAAAGCCCATGAGAGTATTTCAGGCATGGAAAGCCAAGACACGCTTGCAAAAAAAAAAAAAAAAAAAAAAAAAAACCACCTAAATGAAAGATCTCTGTGAGTGAGATCCCAGTGGAAAGAACAGGTCTTCAAAGAAGGAGGTACCTTTCTCTGAAGGGAGGAGAGAACCTCCACTTTGAATATGACCTTGTCTAAACAAGATAAGAGTCAGAGAACTCAAGGGGCTTCCATAGCCGTGGAAACTCATGACTGGTGCATAGGGAGATTACTGATGCCATAAACAGGAGTGTCAATTTGTAAAGTCAACAACAGGAGTCACTGTGCACTTACTCCTCATGTAGGATCTCTGTCCTTAATGTGCTGTACATTGAGAATTAATGCTATAGTGATTACTCAAACAGTATATTTCGCTTTGTGTTTCTATGGGGGTGCAAACTGTTGAAATCTTTACTTAATGTATACTAAACTGATCTTCTGTAAAAAAAAAAAAAAAAAACAAGAAATTATTAATTCCCAGCTTGACTCTTGCTGGGATTAAACATGAGAATAGGTCTGATCTGATTTCATCATCATTTAAAAAATCATCTATTATTTTTCACTTTATGTTTGTGTGGGAGCTAACTGTTGAAATCTTTACTTAATGTATGCTAAACTGATCTTCTGTATATAAAGAGAATTGAAAATGAATCCTCATGTGAATGGAAGGGGAGAGGGAGTGGGAAAGTGGAGGGATGCGGGTGGGAGAGATGTTATGGGGGAAAAGCCATTGTAATCCATAAGCCGTACTTTGGAAATTTATATTCATTAAATAAAAGTTTAAAAAAAAAACCTAAATGAAATATCTCTGTGAGTGAGATCCCAGTGGAAAGAACAGGTCTTCAAAGAAGGAGGTACCTTTCTCTGAAGGGAGGAGAGAGCCTCCACTTTGAATATGACCTTGTCTAAACAAGATAAGAGTCGGAGAACTCAAGGGGCTTCCATAGCCATGGAAACTCATGACTGGTGCATAGGGAGATTACTGATGCCATAAACAGGAGTGTCAATTTGTAAAGTCAACAACAGGAGTCACTGTGCACTTACTCCTCATGTAGGATCTCTGTCCTTAATGTGCTGTACATTGAGATTTAATGCTCTAACGAGTACTCAAACAGTATATTTCACTTTGTGTTTCTATGGGGGTGCAAACTGTTGAAATCTTTACCTAATGTATACTAAATAAAAATTATTGATCCTGATCCCTGTTGTCTGGAAGCCCAGTCATGATTCTTAATTGACTTATTGATTCGTGTCTCACATTAACCACTCATGAAGTGGTGAAACCCAGGTAATGTGCCAGGTGGGTTAGTAAGAAGGGTAAGTCAGGGCTCTTCAGAGAAGTGATTTTCATTATTAACTAATAGTTTCATGCTTACCCCACTGCTTTGTAATACATACAGTGACATAACTATAGAACAGGTAGACAAATCAGCAGCCATTCTTCTACAGGAAAATTAAATTAGGTCATTTATCAACTGCTGGGTGATTTCAGATAGTTACTTATCTCAAAATGAAGCCTCCACTGCATGTGTCAAATCTGTAGCTCAGCCCCTAAAGTCCCCTCAAGTTTGGGAGCATAACTAGTCAGTTTTGTTTCTCCTGTCTTCCTGATATGCTATTTTAATTTTCAGAAATTTCCAACAAACCGAGAAAATGGCCTTTAGTCAGGTATGGCTCAATAAAATTATTTATTTTTCTTCCTTGGAATAAAGTAGTCACTTGTTCAAAGCAATTAACTTTGATCTTCTGTACATATAGTTAATTGAAAATGAATCTTGATATGAATGGAATTGGAGAGGGAGCAGGAGATGGGAGGGTTGTGGGTGGGAGGGAAGTTTTTTGGGGGTGAGCCACTGTAATCCAAAAACTGTACTTTGGAAATTTATATTTATTAAATAAAATTTAAAAAAAGAAAGCAATTAACTTGACAGAACAGGCTCTAAAACTAATAAAATAAATGTTCTCTAGATTAGTGTGTATATGATCATGGTTCTATAATAATAATAACCAGCAACCATATGTGATTATATGGATAAAGAAAAAAGCACATAAGGACCCACAATAGATGCTAACATTGGTTAACATTGGAGTGAGCATTCAGATGAGTGAAGAGTGCACAAATTTTCATAAGATCTAATACATTATTTATGTAATGCATATAACATTTCAAAAATTACTTTAGCTGTTTTGTAAATATTCACTTGTTTAATCGCAAAATAACTATTTGACATTGGTTCCATTGTTATCTCCACTCTACAGATGAGCAAAATAAGACCTGGGAATTCTATTATCACTTGGGCAATCTGAGTATGTGGCAGTGCTGAAATTTAACACCATTGACTGGGCTCACTTGTGTTATGCTCTGCAGTCAGTATTAAAGGAGATACCAACAAATAAGAGTTTCTCATGGTAGTGAGATTCCAGATAATTTTTTACTCTTTCAGGTATTATTCTGATATCTTATGAAGAACATGAATAATTAATACAATGGGAAAAAATAAAAATACTAGTTTGGTACATCAGATCAGTACAAGGTCTAATTTATTCATTTAGAAAGAATTTGTTGAGTTATTGCTATATTCTAATAAGTATGTTAAGAACTTTACATATATGTGTGTGTGTATATATATATATGACTTTAATTTTTGGTGACAATTTACATGATAATTAGGTATTTCAGTGGGAAGCAAGAGACTTGAATATCTGTGAAAATCTTCTGAAACAGTTATTTTCAATTTTCATTTCCATTTCCATTTATAAGACCCCTTCTGTCCAGATTTTTCCAAAAATTTGTACCACTTCATAAGCATTCCTGGAGTCTATGTAAACATCCCCTCTTGGCCCTCAAGAAGCTTTAGAGTGTGATTGAGGATATACAACTCAGAGGTCTGAGCAGATAGGTTTATAGGTAATCTGTCATTTTCACATATTGAATGACTATTACCATCCATAATTGCATAATCATTATATTTCCCCTCCATGACTCAAATTTAACCATCACAGAGAGCCACATCCCCTCATGTAAAGGACCATCTCTCATATCTGCTTTCATACTCTACAATACCTTAACAGTTATGGTCAGGTATTGTTTTACAGGCTCCCACCTTTTATAAAATTCAGCTAGGTTTGTACAGCATTGATTGTTAAATTAATCTTTTCCAAAAGAATGACCTCCTATTTTAAATTCTGGAATTAGTCAATTATATTTATCTCTTTGGTTTAGATTTTTTTTTTTGAAAGATAGAGTTACAGAGAGAGGTAAAAACAGAGAGAGGTCTTCCATCCGCTGGTTAAATCCCTAGATGGCTGCAACAGCCAGAGCTGCACCAATCCGAAGTCAGGAGCCGGGAGCTTCATCTGAGTCTCCATGTGGGTGCAGGGGCCAAAGCACTTGGGCCATCTTCTACCACTTTCCCAGGCCATAGTAGAGAGCTGGATTAGAAGAGGAGCAGCTGGGACTAGAACCAGCGCTCATATGGGACATTGGCTCTTCAGGCCAGGGCTTTGACCAAATAATTTGGGTGTTTCAGTCAATCATTGAAGCAATGCAGACCACCTATTTTGTTTTCTTCCCCCGTTCGGATTTTCCACTGATAGGCAAAGTGGTTTCTGCTTTCTGTGTCTAGTGCGCAGATCTAGAAATCACATTTTAAGTCAGCATCACTAAAACTTGTGTGGTCATGGGGAATTTTACTGAGAATGGTATAAGAATTGTAAACCACAGTGTGACAAGCCTGTGCAATTTAGTAGATAGCTCTTAATTCCTGTAATAATCTATAAAACACATCAGATTTCTTTACTAGTAAAGCTGTTTCAGCTTAATTTTTAGAGGCATAATTTTAACCTTCCTCTACTTCCCTCTTTTGCCCATACTGAAGAGTCAATATGATGTTGTTGTTGTTCTCTCTGGAAATTTTAGGACTCATAGCTGCCCATTATTTACTGTATCTGTCCTAATTTTAATAATTAGATTTGCTGAAGTGATTGGTTCCCACCTCTGGAATACATAGGAAGGAACTTCACATTTCTCCTGTACCTAATTTAACTTTTTCTTTCAAAAGCAACATTTTTTCTTACATTTGTTGAATATTTAGTGGAGGGTTAAGCTTATGATTTTAAAATAAATGGAATGCATGTCATAGTAAAAATTAAAAAAAGAATAAGAAAGAATGTAGGAGAGAGAGTGGGAGCTTGGGTAGGGTGGATATTATGGTGGGAATTATCAGTATGCTCCTGAATCTGTGCATAAGATTACATGAAATTTGTTCACTATTATAAAAATTATTAAAACTAAAAAAAAATAGGACCTGAAAGTCATCCTTATTTACCCCAGACATTTTTAATTTTTCTTTGTATAATTTTATATCCTATGTTTGGAAAGCAAGGAGAACTAGGCTGACCTGGAATCCACAAGGAATATTTAATCCTCCTCTTTTGGTTCCAACTCTAGATATATTAAGTGCTCCAGGAAGGACCTCTCAAAAAGGAATCACTGACCACCACCACCCCAGTCCTCATCAAAGATCAAGAGGTGAATTATCTTCATTTTTCTAACTCTGAACATTTTTTGGAAATGCCCTGGCTTTCCACAGTGGTAAAATGCCGTGGCTCTAATAGCTTTCACTGACTTTAGAGTCACTCCTTCCCTCTTTGTAGTTTGCTGGCCCCAGTGAGCTTTCATGTCTCTTTGAAGAGGCCTTGTTTTTAACATTTTGTGTATTATTTTTTCCACTGTGGATATGAATTTTTCCATATGCTATTTTTTAATCTTCCTTCCTTCACACAAAGATTTTTTGAGCTTCTGTGTGTCTCTATGTGGCTAACTTTAATTTTGACATATCTAATTTAAAAAACATTGTCTCAGCTGACTCTCAGGGCTGAGCCCAGCATATTTTCTTATTTGATCTCTAAGCCTTTGTAAGAATGCAGAGGGATTTTTCTCTTTCTTTTGATGTTGAAGTTCAAATGTCTTTGATGCATTTTGTGATCTCAAGCTTGATTTTTTAAAATTTTTTTCATCATTACCTCCCTTACGCCTTACAATTTTACTCTGGGGAATTATCACATTAATGATCTTTGGGATGTTGTCCTTAGGTGAGGAGATTCCCAGTCCAGCAATGTCTTCTCTTTCCCAAATTTTCATAGCCTCCCTCCCGATCATCCCATTTTTCTCTCTTGCAGATAATATGTTCATTAAAGGCATCACTGCAACCCAGGTATAGTAGCTGAGTTGCAAGAATTGATCTAAATGTTTTGTCAGACTAAGTGGGTTTTTTGAAATTGGCTTCATTTCTTTCTTGAAGTTTCTGACTTCAATACTTATAAAGGAAGCTTACTAAGACAACATCTCCCTGAAACATTGGGACTTCCTGAGGTAGATGCATAATATATGTCATCTGTTTAAGCAGAATAAGAACGTTTTCTACATTATTTTTTTTTTTACATTTTTGCTTTTTTCAACTTTGTTCATAAATCAGGATGTGCGGTACGTTCAGCCTTTCCATATTTTTTTTTTTGACAGGCAGAGTGGACAGTGAGAGAGAGAGACAGAGAGAAAGGTCTTCCTTTGCCGTTGGTTCACCCTCCAATGGCCGCCGCGGCCAGCACGCTGCGGCCGGCGCACCGCGCTGATCCGATGGCAGGAGCCAGGAGCCAGGTGCTTTTCCTGGTCTCCCATGGGGTGCAGGGCCCAAGCACCTGGGCCATCCTCCACTGCACTCCCTGGCCACAGCAGAGGGCTGGCCTGGAAGAGGGGCAACTGGGACAGAATCCAGCGCCCTGACCAGGACTAGAACCCGGTGTGCCGGCGCCGCTAGGCGGAGGATTAGCCTAGTGAGCCGCGGCGCCGGCCCTCCATATTTTTAAACCCCTCTTTCCTTGGCTCCTCTTCCCATGATGCTCATTCTGGGCCCCATTTTAAGCTGTGTAAGGAGACAGATATGATAACGGATCCCAGAATTTAGCCCCAGAACCTTTTCCCTCTTCTATTAGAGGAAATATGGGAGTAGGAATTAAAACAACAGGACTTAGAGTTTTCATTACAGCAAAGAGTATAATCTCTCTCCTGGGGAGACAAAGCTTTATCATGTACAGACAAAATGAGACCCTGACATATCTAGACTTCTTGTGAACCAAGTTTAGGACAGAAAAATGAGAGCATTACAATTTTCTTTATTTATTTTTTTGCAAACAAAACACAGATTTCACAAATATAAACATGCATATAGCATGCATAATTGAAAATGCATCCAGAGAGAAATGATTCAAGTTCTGTTATTTAGGACTTACAATTTATGGCCCAAGACTTCAATTTTTGGATAAAGTTTCTTTTTTTGATAAAGTTTCAAGAGGGATGAGACAAAAATAGAAATTTGAGAAGTTCAACCTAACCAAAACTATCTCTTACAAAGATTCTCTGCATCTGTAAGTTGTTTCTTCTATTGATAAAAATTAAACATATTTTAAATAGAAGAATTTTATACAATGGGGAATAAGCTCCAAACAGAAATAATAACATTACGGGACAAAATAATTTATAACAATACAACACACAATCAAATTTAGACCAAGCTTTACAATAGTCATAGCCAAAGGAAAAACAGGATACATGTAGAGTTTGATACAAAGTAAGGAGCCAAGTATAACTTTTTAGTTTTTTGTAGTTGAAAGTTTGTTTATTTGTAGTTGAAAACCAGAGAGACATACAGAGAGATCTACATCTTCTGCCCACTTATTTACTCTCCAGATGCCCACAACAGACAGGGATGATCCAAGTTGAAGCCAGAAGGCAGGAACTCATTCAAGGTTCCCACCATGAATGGCAGGAATTCAAGTCTTTGGACCACAATATGTCTTTCACTGTACATGTTAGCATGAAACTGGACTTGGAAGCAGACCTAGGAATTGAATCCAGACACTCCAGCATTAGGTGCAAATGTCCTAAGTAGTATCTTAGCCACTATACCAAATGCGCAACCTTGAATATGTTTAATGTATTCAATTAGAACAAGTTTTTTTTTATAGATTTATTTTATTTATTTGAAAGGCAGAGTTAGAGGAGAGAGAGGTAGAGCCAGAGAAAGAGAGAGAGAGGTTTTCAATCCATTGGTTCACTCCACAAATGACCACAATGGCCAGAGCTGCGCTGATCTGAAGCCAGCAGCCAGGAGCTTCTTCTGGGTCCCCAACATGGGTGCAGGGGCCCAAGGACTTGGGTCATCTTCTACTGCTTTCCCAGGCCATAGCAGAGAGCTGGATTGGAAGTGGAGCAGCCAGGACTAGAATTGGTGCCCGTATGGGATGCTGGAACTTCAGGCCAGGGCTTTAACCCACCATGCCACAGCGCCAGCCTGAGAACAAGTTTTATGGGTACTTAAATCTATTTGGAAAATAATTCTTATGTGTTTCTCTGCATAAGATCCTAGCGATCTATGGTTTTGTCTTTTTTCATGATTTACTACACAAGCAATACGTGTGATGTGTTAAAATAATTTTAATCCACACAACAAAATTAGGTGAGGTAATATATTATGCATTTATAAAATAAGGCCAATTACTTCCCTAAGCCCAAAATGTTAAAAAGGTAAAATGGTACATTGCGGGGAATATAAGCCAGGGGTAAGTTTCACACAGTGGTGTAAGACACTAGTACTCAAACAGTATTTTTCACTTTGTGTTTCTATGTGGGTGCAAACTGTTGAAATCTTTACTTAATATATGCTAAACTGATCTTCTGTATATAAAGAGAATTGAAAATGAATCTTGATGTGAATGGAAGGGGGGAGGGAGAGGGAAAGAGGAGGGTTGCGGGTGGGAAGGAAGTTATGGGGGGGGAGCCATTGTAATCCATAAGCTGTACTTTGGAAATTTATATTCATTAAATAAACGTTAAAAAAAAAAAAGACACCATTTAAAATGCACACATTGGTATTGGAGTGCTGCTGATTGCAGTCCTGGCACCTCCACCCCAACCCAGCTCCCTGGTTAAACAATACATTAAAGCTCAAGATGATGCCTCAACAGTTTGTGCTACTGCCACCCACAAGGAGACATATCTGAGCCCTGGATCTTGGATCCTTGCTCCTGGCTATGGCTTTTTCCAACCCTGACAGTTGTGGTAATTTGAGGAGTGAACTAGCAGATGGAAGATCTCTGTTCCTTTCTTTTAGTTCTGTTTTTGTTCTGCCTTTCAATTAGATAAAGTAAATAAATAGCTGTTTTTTTAAAAAGTACAGATAAAAAAATCATGAAAGGTACAGTGGAAAATAACCTTGTCATCAAAGATAATAGCTTTGAAAATTTCATAAAGAAAGTATCATTTTACAATAAATCATTCTTTGAAGAAATTTATATGGCTTTGCTCATATAAAATAATTATCATTTAAGTATATGGTATAACTATTGTTAAAGGACAACAACAAAATGATTGTTACAAATGGCCATGGTGACCTCACTGTCATCTGAAACACCCCAGACTATTATGAGTGGTCTTACTTTAAATTTCTCTGTTGATGCCTGAACCACTTGAAATGCTTTGTGAAGGTAAGAATACTGAATGAATATAAGGCCACTTTTTATATATGCTAGAGTTATAAAATATCTACGCACATTGCTTAGCACTGCACATGGAACACTGATACATTAGTGCTGGCCATTTCAGAAATTTGCTTTATATTAAAATTGAATGAAAATTGTGTATTATAACTCTCATACAAGGAGTTAAGATACTTACCAGTGTATTCTGTGTTCTTCTCAGTGTGAATGTCATTCTCGGCCATTTTTGTTGATTCTGCTTCTCCTGTGTCTTTATCCAAGGTCAAATGTATGCTATATATCACCAGGAATACTGAGGTAACCTTTGAAATGTGTTCTTTGCCACTCTGCCTCCCAAATCCTTGCCCAGACTTGTAGCTGTTCATATATGTTTTTAAAATGTATACCCCATTGCTTAAAAAAACACAACTGTCAGGACCAACATTGTAATACAGCAGAGTAAACCATGATTACGATCCTGACATTCCATTCATAGTGTCAGTTCAAATCTGGGTTGCTGTACTTCCAATCCAACCCCCTGCTAATTCACCTGGAAGAGAAGTGGATGATGGCTCAAGTACTTGGGCCCCGTCACCCATGTGGGAGAACTGGATTGAGTTACAGGCTTCTGTTTTTGTCACTGCTCAACCATCAGCCACCAGAGTTATTTGTAGAGTAAAACAGCAGGTGGAAGATCTTTTTATCTTCCTCACTCTTTAACTCCACCTTTCAAGTCAATTGTTTAAAATCTTTAAAAATCACCATATCATTTGTGAATGAAATACAGTTAAACATTTCAATTTATATCATCATTTTGTAGTATTTTTCTATGTCTAAACCACTGCTTTAGATATTTGTGCAGTAGAATTTTTGTTTTCAGTTAAGAACGTCGTTCCCTTTTTGTGTCTTTCATTTATATTTTATAATTTTTATTGTAGTGATCTTTCACTTTTTTGGGTAAAATTCATTACAAAATATCTGAATGTAGCTGTTATGAATGGCGATTATTCATGATTTTGCTTTCACAGAGTTCATTACTAGTACATGAAAAAACAACTGCCTTTTTCATGTTGTTTTTGTAAAATGCACCTTTACTGAACTGAATTATCAGTTCCAAGAACATTTTTGTGCAGGGTTTAGATTTTTCCATATACAATAACATCATCTGTTAACAAGAATATTTTGAGTTTCTCCATTCCAATTTTGTGGCCTTTCTTTCTCTTCCCTATTTGATCCTCTTTATATTTCTAATATCATACAGAATAACAGTGTTGAAACTAATAACAGTGTTGAAACTAATAATGTTTTGTTCCAGACCTGAGAGGAAATGATTTCAGCATTTCCCCATTCAGTATGATTTTGACAAGATGCCAAAAGGTAGCCTTTATAATTTTGAGGTCAGCTCTTATATTAAATTTTTGATGGGCCATTAGCTTGAAGCGTTCTTGAATTTTGCGAAGTGCTTTTCCTCATATATTTAGATGCTTATATTTCTTGTACATTCTATTGACATGGTTTATGGTGATTTTTATTTGTGAAGGTTGACTCACCTCTGCATCTCTTAGATAAATCACACTTGATCTGATAAACTATCTTGTAGATGTGTTGGATTTGGGTTGCTAGGCTTTGGTTGATAACATCTGCATCTATTTTCACCAAGGACATTGATTTGTAGCTTTGCTTTTATATTGTGTCCTGTTCTGTTTTGGTATCAGAGTGATCTGTAAGAGGTTTGGCAGATTCACATCCTATTCATATTTTTGCATATGATTTAAAAGGTGTTTGAGTTAGTTCTTCTTAAATATTTTGTAGAATTCAGTAGTAAAGGGTACCTGGATATTAAATTATTATTATTAATGAATCTAAAGGGAGACAATCAATTTATTTTTTGACAGGCAGAGTGGACAGTGAGAGAGACAGAGAGAAAGGTCTTCCTTTTGCCATTGGTTCACCCTCCAATGGCTGCTGTGGCCAGCGCACTGTGGCCAGCACACCATGTTGATCCGAAGCCAGGAGCCAGGTGCTTCTCCTGGTGTCCCATGGGGTGCAGGGCCCAAGCACTTGGGCCATCCTCCACTGCACTCCCGGGCCACAGCAGACAGGTGGCCTGGCAGAGGGGCAACTGGGACAGAATCTGGTGCCCTGACTCAGACTAGAACCCAGTGTGCTGGCACTGCAAGGCAGAGGATTAGCCTAGTGAGCCACAGTGCCGGCCAGAGACAATCAATTTAACACAATAGTAAGGGAGGACATCAACAACACCCCACTTTCTTCAATGGACATATCAACTAGACAAAAAATCAGTAAAGAAACAAGAGCTAATCAAAACTCTGGACCAAATGTACCTAGCTGGTATCTACAGAACTTATTTTTTTTAAAGATTTATTTTATTTGGGGTAAGTCCAATAGAGCATGTGCCAAACTGTACAGTTAGAAATGTGCCAGGGGATTCCAATTCAATCCCTTCAAGGTGGCATGTACCAATGCCAACTCACTAGTCAAACTGATCAGTTTCAGTTCATAATTGATCATAATGAGAGAATTAAGTGTCAAAGGGATCACATAAACAAGACTAGTGTCTGCTAATATTAACTGATAGAATTAAAATGAGAAAATTATACAACATGGGAAGTTGGATACACAGCAGACTCATAGAATTTTAGATGTCCTAAACAGCACTCTGGCCTCAGAATCAGCCCTTAAGGCATTCAGATCTGTCTAATAAGCCAATGAGAGTGTTTCAAGCATGGAAAGCCAAGACACTCTGGCAAACAAAAAAAATAGCCTAAATGAAAGATTTCTGTCAGTGAGATCCCAGAGGAAAGAATGGGCCATCAAAGAAGGAGGTACCTTTCTCTGAAGGGAGGAGAGAGCTTCCACTTTGGCTGTGGCCTTGTGTAAATAAGATCAGAGTTGGTGAACTCAAGCGGCATCCATAGCCTTGGCAGCTCATGAGAAGAGCCTCCAGTGTCAACTGGGGGAGAGAGAAAGGAGCAGACTTGGCAGGGACTGGAGGACAGGGTTGAGAGAGCAAGAGAGGGAGGGAGTGAGCAGTGAGCAAGCATGCCAGGAGTCAGCAAGAAGGGGCAAAGCTGCCACTCCTGCCTGAGGCACCACAGATGGGAGTGGGGGCAGCAGGGAAGGAACACAGAGGGAAGAAGAAAGGCCAAGAGGAGAAGGCGGCCGGAGGCAGTGGCGGCTGCTGCTGCTGCTGCTGGTGGTGATAGGGGAGAAGGAGGAGCAGGTGGGGGGCAGGGGTTGAGGGAGTGAATGAGAGAAGCAAATGCTCGAGGGAGGGGAGGGAAGGAGGGGTCATGCGGGGGCACGCATGCGCACAGGAAGCACTCTCAGAGGCGAGTGTAACTGGATCGGGTTTGCTGCCAGCGGTATGAGCTTTGGCCACCATTTTATAACAGCTCCACTTGCAGGGATACAAGGAGCAGGGAGCATGCAACCCGATCCCCTGGGACAGGATTCCTTGGCCATAGCACAAAGGGGAGGGCTAGTTGCACATAGTGATTTAGATGAAAGAGCTATTGAAGCTTTGAAAGAATTCAATGAAGATGGTGCATTGGCAATTTTTCAGCAGTTTAATGACAGTGATCTCTCTCATGTTCAGAACAAAAGTGCCTTTTTATGTGGAGTCATGAAGACTTACAGGCAGAGAGAAAAACAGGGGACCAAAGTAGCGTACTCTAGTAAAGGACCAGATGAGGCAAAAATTAAAGCACTCTTGGGAAGAACAGGCTACACACTTGATGTGACCACTGGACAGAGGAAGTATGGGGGACCGCCTCCAGATTCTGTTTATTCAGGTCAGCAGCCTTCTGTTGGCATTGAGATATTTGTGGGGAAGATCCCAAGCGATCTATTTGAGGATGTGCTTGTTCCTTTATTTGAGAAAGCTGGACCTATTTGGGATCTTCGTCTTATGATGGATCCACTCACTGGTCTCAATAGAGGTTATGCATTTGTCACTTTTTGTACAAAAAAAAAAAGCAGCTCAGGAGGCTTTTAAACTGTATAATAATCATGAAATTCGTTCTGGAAAACATATTGGTGTCTGCATCTCGGTTGCCAACAGTAGGCATTTTGTGGGCTCTATTCCTAAGAGTAAAACCAAGGAACAGATTCTTGAAGAATTTAGCAAAGTAACAGAGGGTCTTACAGACGTCATTTTATACCACCAACCAGATGACAAGAAAAAAAAACAAAACAGAGGCTTTTGCTTTCTTGAATATGAAGATCACAAAACAGCTGCCCAGGCAAGGTGTAGGCTAATGAGTGGTAAAGTCAAGGTCTGGAAAAATGTTGGAACTGTTGAATGGGCTGATCCTATAGAAGATCCTGATCCTGAGGTTATGGCAAAGGTGAAGGTACTTTTTGTATGTAACCTTGCCAATACTGTAACAGAAGAGATTTTAGAAAAGGCATTTAGTCAGTTTTGAAAACTGGAACGAATAAGGAAACTGAGAGATTATGCATTCATTCATTTTGATGAATGAGATGGTGCTGTTAAGGCTATGGAAGAAATGAATGTCAAAGACTTGGAGGGAGAAAACATTGAAATTGTTTTTGCTAAGCCACCAGATCAGAAAAGGAAAGAAAGAAAAGCTCAGAGGCAAGCAACAATCAGATGTATGATGATTACTACTATTACGGTCCAACTCATATGCCCCCTCCAACAAGAGGTCGAGGGCATGGAGGTAGAAGTGGTTATGGATATCCTCCAGATTATTATGGATATGAAGATTTTTATGATTATTTTGGCTATGATTACCATAACTATCATGGTGGATATGAAGATCCATACTATGGTTATGAAGATTTTCAAGTTGGAGCTAGAGGAAGGGGTGGTAGAGGAGTAAGGGGTGCTGCTCCATCCAGAGGTCATGGGGCTGCTCCTCCCTGTGGTAGAGCCGGTTATTCACAGAGAGGAGGTCCTGGATCAGCAAGAGGCATTGGTGGTGTGAGAGGAGGTGTCCAACAACAAAGAGGCCACGGGCAGCGAAAAGGGGTTGAGGCCTGTCCTGACCTGTTACAATGAAGACTGACTTGCTATGTGGGATTACACCAGAAGCTTGCAGTGGAGTAATGGTAAGGAAATCAAGCAACCTTAAATATCTTGGCTGTATAGGAGCATATTCTATTGCAGAAGACCTTCCTATGAAGATCATGGAATCAAATACGGGACATTGAACTAATACTTGGACTTTGATATGAATTTCTTTAACAATTTTCTATGCAGTGCAAGTTATTAAACTAAAGCTACTCTATTTTCCAAATGTGTTCCAACAGAATTCCTTTATAACTTCTAGCATGATCGCTTGATAAAGAATAAAGTTCTTCTCTTTAAAAAATCTGCTCTAAGTAGATTTTTCCCCTGTTTTTTTTTTTTTTTTTTAAATTAAGGATCCCAGCAGTG